TATTTCTGCCACATAAAATAAAAAACTGAAAACATATATAGAAAAGATCTCAGATTTGATATTAAAAGGTAAGTTAAGGCCTTGTCAAGTGAATGGAAGAGATCCAGCAGAAATTATTGTACTTTAACTAATGAGGAAATTTCCTCCTTAAGGAAGGATAATGAGTATTGGCAGATGGCTTGCAGTAACCTGTTAGTAACAATTATCCCAAAACAGAGAGAATCAAATATATAACGAAAGCAATATGGATTCTTCTACATATCGTGAGAAAAGCACCTATTTCTGGAGTTCTTACCTTTTACACAGATGCAAACAAATCAGGTAAGGCAGGGTATAAGTCAGGATATATAAGTAAAGTAGTTCAAAGCCCTTATAACTCTGTATAAAAGACAGAGTTGTATGCCATTCTCATGGTACTTAAAGACTTTACAGAGCCTCTTAATATAGTTACAGACTCTTGCAGGGTGGTCGTGGCGCACGCCTTTAATCCCAGTACTCGGGAGGCAGAGGTAGGCGGATCTCTGTGAGTTCCAGGCTGGGCTGGACCGATAGCCTCCAAAACAATACAGAGAACCCCTGTCTCGTAAAAAAAAAAAAATATATATATATATATATATATATATATATATATATATAGTTACAGACTCTCAGTATGCAGAGAGAGTTGTCTTGCACATTGAGGCTGCATAATTTGTTTATGATGGCACAGAATTAACATCATTGTATTTACAATTACAGGAAACCATCAGAAACAGAACTCATCCTATATATATAACACACATCAAATCCCATATGGGTCTGCCAGGTCCTCTAGCACAAGGCAATGAGGAGATTGATCATTTATTAATAGGAAGTGTGTTGGAAGCTTCAGAATTTCATAAGAAACACCATGTTAACAGCAAAGGTTTAAAGAAGGACTTTTCTATCACCTGTCTACAAGCCAAGTAAATAGTAAGAAATTGCCCTGCTTGCTCATTCTACCATCAATCTTTGTTACCAGCAGGTACTAATCCCAAAGGTATTCGCAGGAATGAACTTTGGCAAATGGATGTTCTTCACTTTCCAGAATTTGGCAGTTCTCAGGCTTCCAATGGGCTACTGCCCTCATCTCTTAGTGGTGATGGCTGTTATGGGTATACCTGCACAAATAAAAACTGACAATGCTCCATCATATGTCTCCAGTAAATTAACAGTTTTTCAAATATCATTATATAAAACATGTAACTGGTATACCTTACAATCCCACAGGACAAGCAGTGGTTGAAAAATCTAACCAAGTTTTAAAAGAAATGCATCATAAACAGCCAGGGGGGACAAAGACACTCAAACACAGAATACATAATGTGTTACTAATGTTGAATTTTCTTAATGCTAATGAAAAAGGACAAACTGGTGCAGAAAGACACTGGAGTACAAAGAAAACTTCTTAGCTGAACCAACCGGTATATTTAAGGATGTTATAACCTCAGTACCGAAACCAGGATACATGTTACGTTAGGGAAGGGGTTTTGCTTTGTTTCCACAGGAGAAGAAAAACTTTGGTTTCCATCAAAATTAAACAAAATTCGATCCGAACAGAAGACACCTTAGGAGGAGGAAAGATGACAGCTCATCTACAAGGTCATATTCTACCATGGGTAAGGTGACCTCCTAAAAGGAAAGAGAAGTGTTTTGTTTTTTGCCTTCACAGGAAAACTCAGCAAAAAATACTGGATGTATGGATACCTGAAGAAGAATGGATAGCTACCCTGAGGACCATCAAATAAACAATAACTCACTGTGTGGTATCAAAGTCTAAATTTCTCTATATTGTTTTTATAACACCCATTTCTCTTTGTTTCTTAATATGCTTTAGTCCCCATTTATTTAACTAAAGCTGGCTTTGGAGTTGGATTGGCTCTTCTACTCTAAATTCAAGTGTATTGTTTAAATAAAATTCAGAATTTCTGTATTATATCAAAGAGCCATTGACATAAGACAGAAGAAAACAAAATTAGAGACTGTTATCTATGGATTTCTTTTTCTGAAAAGTCTAATCTCCTTCATGTTTACTGTCTTCCCTATTGTAGTGTTTTCCAGTATGCATACATATAAAAGTTAAAATTTTATTTGTTAACATTGATGTTAGAGTTTTCCAGATAACAAGGGATTTCATGACAGCAATCTTCAGCCACTTTGGATAGAGAATGAGGCACCACTTCATCGACTCCACCTTATTCAACTTGATGCATCTGAACTGCCCCACATCATCGACTCCACCTGACAAGCACCATCCTGGGACTGGCTTGGGACTACATCACTCGACACAACTCCAGACCAAGGAACTGCTACAGTGCACCTTCTACAATCTGGCCAGAGCTTCAGATGAGAGCTTCAATTAACACTAGAACTCCAGTCAAGAACTTCAATCAAGCATCTCCTGCCAAACAGAGACTGTCTAATCTATTTAAGATTTTGTTACACTAACATTTTTCTTCTCACAGGTCCCCATGAGATTGTCATCATCCCATCTCAGCAGGAAATAGCTCTGAGAATTCCACACCCCCTCTCCCTACTATTGATATTGTAGGATAGTTTACACCTGTTAGTGCTAGTTTTCAATTATTTTAGAGTGGGGATTGGAAGGAGGTGTTCAGACTTGGGTATTTCTTTCAGATAAGCTTAGGTTTAGATGGGATAGCTGTTTGAGACATTTTGTTCATTGACACAAATTAGTGTTGTTTTAAGTTTATATATCTTCTTTAGACTAAAAGGGGAATTGTAGGAGGAGACTTAGGACTATTCTGCTAGCCATGCAGTGCGCTAGACGTGCATACGGATGTGGTAATGAGAGAGCAGTGAACTATGCTGCTAGCCATGTCCACTTTGGGTGTGGCTAGAGGCATATACGGAGATGCTAATAAAAGACTGTGCAGGAGAGCCACATGCTCTCTTTTCGGCTTCCGGTTTTGTGGCGAAAGCTACTGACTCACCTTGTTGGTGCATATTCTCTTGTAGGTAATTTCTACAATAAACAGTTACCTATACCCTCAACAAGTGTGCCGTTTATCGTTACAGCGACAGATATTTTATTTTAATTTTTCAGGAGGGTCACAGCTAATAGATTGCCTTGAAGTCTTAGAATAGACTTTGAACTTCGGACTTTTAAACAACCTTGACACTGTGATAGATAATGGGGACTTTTGAAGTTGTGCTAAATGCATTTTGTGTTATGATTTGTCTTCAAGCCTATAGGGGACAGGGAGTGGAATGTGGTGGTTTATTTTCCTTTATAAGAATTGCCATGGTCTTGGGTCCCTTTATAGCAATAGAACATGGACTAAGACAGTGAACACTCCAGATATTTTTATTTATTAAAAATTCTGCATTTATTAAGATGGGACTCACAACTTCCAAGATACTCTGCCTTCACATCATTAAGGAATATTCAAAATGATCTCTCTTTTGTGTACCCATTGTTATTTAGCATTTCTGTGTGATTTTAAAGAAGGGTTCTTATAGCATAGAGAAGGAAAACACTTGGAGCTGCTGTGTGCTGTCTGGTCTTTGTTGTTTGTCAGTATGACAGAAGGCAGACCCATTTGGGAAAAGGAAACTTCAACTGAGAACATACCTCCACCAGACTGGCCAATGGGAAAAGCTCTGGCAATTTTCATGATTGATGATTACTGTGAGAGAGACCACCTTACCATGGGCAATGAAACTCTTAGGCTTGTGGTCCTGGGTGCTATAAGAAAGCTCACTAGGAAAGCTATGAAGAGCAAGTCAGTAAACAGTGTTCTTCCATGACCTCTGCTTCAGTTTCTGCCTCTAGGTTTCTGGCATGAATTCCTGCCCTGACTTTCCTTCATAGTATGGTAGCCCATATGTTTTCCTCTGAATGGACCTGGTGGGAAACATGTAGCCTTACGGTTTGCTTTTATAAACCTCTGTACAATATGACTTGTCACCATTTCCTGGGAACCCTGGAATGGACCTGACCAGAGTCTATCACCCTGGCCAGATTTTTTTAAAACTTGCTTCAAATTTGGCTCAAATTATGGTAGTGGTTTATACTTACCTGGTGGAATTAACACGTCTCCATATGTCAGAGTGTCACTTATGTCTCCCATACTGGCTTTGATTACACAAGACACTGGCTCAGTACTTTCAAGTGCTAAGAGTCAAACTGTGTGCCATTCATTACTTGCTTTCAAAACAGTCATCCAGCAAGTTCTATGTATTCGACTAATTGGAATCAATACATCTGGTGAACTTAGGCTTGCTCATTCCCTTCCCCTGGGTTGCTGAGTGTGCTTTCATTGTGTTGAATGTGTGTTTTAATGAGCTCTTTATCAATATCAGCGTAATACTGTGTTCTGTGATTTCTGGACCTTTTTTTTCAGATTTGTTCCCTGGGTTTTATCTGAACCATTTGCACAGTACATTAGATAGCAGATTAATTTTTTAATCTAAAGATACAACCCAAGCTATCAGGACCTTGCTTTCACAATCAGTCTCTGCATGAAGCATTTCCTGGAGGCCTCACAAAAGGGCAGACGTGGGAGGAGTGGAGTCAAGCAGGTACAGGAAGCCATGTCAGTGTCACTTCACGGTGATCTAAGAGCTCTGCTGGGGAGAAGTCACTACACTAAGAACAAAGCGAGAGCCGTTGTAACCGGGCCACATAAAATCCAGTCAGTGACACTACTTCCACTCGCTTTCTTCTCCTAAAACATGGACTTCCTTTTCCTTCTCCTTGCACACCATGCTTCCAATGGCAGATCAGAATTCAAGGGGAGATAAATAAAAACAAGCCCTACCTGTGTTTCCTTCAGAACAACCCTGGCTCCTCTGGGACCACACCTAGGCTCACTGCAGGCATGTTCATCTCTTCTTACCTGCTCTGATGTTGTGTCCTTACAGAGTTCAAGGGAGCAGTACCAAGACCCCTACTGTGCAGAGACAATGAAGCTGACATTTACAGATAAGAAAGGTCACTGCCTTCCATACCTGCAGGCAAAGCCAGTCAGGAAATATATAAAGGAGAAGCTCAGCTCAGCTCTCAGCCAAGGTCCTTCCAGGCAAGATGAATCCTACCAGCTTCTTCCTCCTTACATTGCTCCTGGTTCTGGTGACAGAACCAGCTGCAGGAAGACCCCGTGGTGAGTGGCAAGTTTGTTCTGTGGGAAAGGTATTTGAGGAAAATGTTCTCAAAGGGGTCCACCTGGAGTCTACAAAAGGCTCTGTTCCCAGGGCTTCTGTCCCTGGTAGAAACTGATATTCACATAATTTTTATGTGAATATCAGTAACGGGGTGGGCAAAACATCAGTAAGGAGGGCTGCAGGGGAATGTGGGACAGTGGGTATCGCAAACATCCTCATTGTCAATTGTGAGGGGAGTTGAAAAGGCCATTTGACAAGTAGATCACTCCAACTTCTAACTGGACTAATGGTCAATGGCTTTGTAGGCAGCAAAACAGCAACAAGGTACATCTGAACACAGGTCCATAGCCAGAGCTGAAGGATGGGCTCTTGACAGTGTTCTGACGCCCAACTAATTCAGAACACACAGAAAGATGGACAGAGAATTAGGCATACTTTTCTCTTCACAGATAGATTTGCACATGACACATCAAGAGAAAACCTTGAACTAGAGATCCTGGGGAGCAGTGGGGGATCGAGTTCTATCCATAATGAATACAGACACAGTGAAAGCTCATGGAGTACCTTTAAATCAAAAAATCCCAGGACTACCATCACAGAGGAATTCTACGAGGAAAGGGAAGAGAAACATGGTATCAGCGATGGTGATCTTAATTTTAAGACAAGAGGATCTCAAGAAGAAAGCATGAGCTCCTTTAAAAGTAGAACGAAAACCCAGATTGCTGGGAAATAACATGTTCACTGGCCAACTGAAGACCTGGACCAATATGAAGGTAAGGATATCACCAGGTGAGGGAGATGCCTGCATCAGGGTTTTGAAGCTATGCATGGCTATTCCCTGAGCCATTGTAGAACTGGCTGATCCCCACTGTGCACACCTGGGGAGCCGTGGAGCATGACCTTTGGGAAAGTAAGGGTAGTACCCAGCAGAGCAGAGGAAGGTACTCAGCAATGACTGTGTCCTGAATTCCTAGCCTTAGTGTGTGGCATCAATGTTTTTCTCCTGCCCGATCCAGCAAGTGGTAAAATTGAGTGTGTACCACCTGCACAAGCATATGGCTGAGCTTATAATAGAATCTTGTCACTTTTTTGTGTTGTTCTTGTAAAACTTAATTTTGTGCTTATCGTGGTAGAAAACAGTGCAGTAGATGCAATCTCCTTGTGTCCACACAACCCTGTGAGAAGCAATTATCTCTTTCAGAGGCCATAGTTCCAAGAGTTAGCGTCCTCTTCCCTCTCATAAGAAAAAAAAAATGCCCCTGCTTGTTACACACTAGAGATGAAATACAGCAGTTACCTGCAGTAAAGGCAACCACAGAGACCTGAGAAATACACCAAATGTCCCCTGTGCCTTCCCCTGTCCTACTCCACATGACGTCCTCTCTTCCCCTAGGTGTCACCGAACTGAGAGAAGTCTGAGTTGTCTTCAGGATTCAGTCTTCCCCTGGGTCCCCGAAACAGCCCATGGCTGTCCCTTCCTTCTCACGCCTGCTTTTTCTTAAGATTCCCAACCCTGACACTATTCAAATTCAACCTTTTCAATAAAAAAGATATCATTCTGCATCATTATCTCCTGAAGTCTCTTGCTTCTGGGGCATAGGAGCTGGTTGGATTCTTGGAATTAACAGTTCCACAATTAAAGGAAGTGTCGGTATGGTGAATTCTATGCAAAGACACGTTTCCTAAGCTCTGGATAGAGACGCATTATTCAGTAGCAGGCACTATGACTGCCAATCACTTCAACTAACCCTAATCCCTGCCTGACCATCTTCTTAGTGGGGCTTCAAACTGGCAAGCTAGGCCATGTCAGAGAAGTCATGTTCCAATACGCCACTGCAAAGCCCTCATCAGGTGTCCCCAGGTTCACCAGTGTGATGTGTTTCAAGTATCTTGCTTATTGAATGGCTTCTTTTTAAGATTCCGTGTCCCCAGTGATTGGAGAGATGGTCAACACTTGGGATCACTGGTTGCTTTTCCAGAGGACGTGGGTTCTTTTCCCATGCCAGCTCACAACTGTCTCTAACTCCAGTTTCAAAGGATCCAACACCCTCAAACAGACTTACATGCAAGCAAAACACCAATGTACATAATATAAAAATAAATAAATAATTTTAAAAATAAAAAAGAAAAGATTCAACGTCATTAAGTGTGATACATGAAGTGTCTACCACTTATACAAGCATGTATTAAACAATGCCATCTGTGGACAGACACACCAAAGGACCAACTACAATAGCTAGGGAGGGTGTCTCCAAGTACAAATCTTGATGTTCATATACCTTTCTTCGAGTATTTAATGAAGACTCCAGGGCCTAAATCCCCCAAGAGCAGAAATAAATATGGAAAGAAAACACATCATAGGCACTGCAAGAAGAAAGGCTATCATACTTCTGTGATCCACAAGCAAGGATTTGAGCCAACAGAGTCACATAGTTGTGGTGATCTGAATGAGAATGACACACATAGGCTCCTAAATTTGCCTGCCTTGTTCCCAGTTGATAACCTGGTTCAGCTGGATTAGGAGGTGTGGCCTTGTTGGAGGAGATGTGGCTTTGTTGGAAGAGATATGGCTTTGTTGGAGGAGGTGTGGCCTTTCTGGAAGAGTTATGGCCTTGTTGAAAGTGGTGTGGTCTTGTTGGAGAAGGTATTGTAGATGGGGATGGGTTTACAGTTTCAAAAGTCCATGCCAGACCTTCTCTCTCTGTCTCTCAGGATGTACATCTCTCATCTACTGCTCCAACACAATGCCTGCCTGCTTTCCACTGTGATGACCATGGACTAAACCTCTGATACTATAAACAAGCCCCCAGTTAAAGACTTTCTTTTTTAAGTGTTGCCATGGTCATGGTGTCTCCTCATAGCCATAGAACAGGGACCAAGACACTACTGCTGGAAATACTTGATGCCAGAGGAAAAAGGAATCATGACTCCGAATGTGAGAAAATATGAAAACCTTGTCCTTGTCAAAATGGCTGGCAGGAATATGCTCAGAATCCAGAGACAGTGATCACTTAGATTCTAGAAGCTATGGCCAAACATTAGGTTACAAACATTAGGTTATCCTTACTACAGGCTCAGATGAGTTAGATACTGTATCTCTGTCTCTAGTGAATATAGGCATGATAAAGCAAGAAAATTTATTGAAACTTTAAATTCAGAAGATAATTGGCCCTTCTCAATTCTGGATATTCTTGGAATGCATGTCCATAGTCCATTATAATTTTCCCCATTGGAATGAACACATCTCTTAAATCATTCACTTAACAATATGCTCATAATATATTAACTTTCTGATAACACAGTACACATACAAAAGATTTTTGGCCCATATTGACTATGTCATGACTAACATATCTTACCTTCAACAAAAGAATTGAGCCAGGCATGATGATATTTGCTTATAATCCAAATGCAGGAGGATGAGGAGTGGAAAGTTACCTTGGAACTCACTTTTATAACACACAGCTAAGCAGAATCCATCAAGGCTGGAGTGACCTGAGGACAACTATGCTAGGCAATGATGGGACCTGGATCAAGGGACTTCTCCCAGAGAAGGACTCTATCAAGCTGAAGGACGAGATCTACTGAATGGGCCACATTCAGGACTAGGGAAGCAACATGGCAGAAAGAAGACAATGTCACATGTCTGTTCCTTCACATATTTTATACAACTTTTGGTGTTTTTCTGCTTAAACATCTCCTGAAGCACTGAAGACTAGTTATGGTGCCTTTTGTGTAATTGAAGATCAGTGGTAATGGAGGTGAATAATTACACAACATATGGTCGTCTCCCCCACCCCCAGATTATTTTAAAAACCTGTACTGCAGAGGAACCTATATAGAAACTCACACACTCCTCATGATCTAAAAACAGAGATGCCAAAAGTACAAATTACCCAACAGTGAAAACACAAAAGACACCCAACTGAGAATAACAATTCTCCTGCCCTGTAGGCACTCCAATAAGAGTTCAAAAAAATTGCAAATATAAGATCAAGAAAACTGATTTGAATGAATAATACATTCACTGACCAAGTAAAGGCCAAGTCCATTAACAACATAAGATTTAAGCAAAGTTATGAGAATTCTCTTGACCCATCCTGAGACTGATACTCAATATCCACACAATAAAAATGCTGTTACAAACACCAGAGAGATGACAATGACTACCTGGTGAGGTGATCACCTGTGAAAGGAAGAGGAAGCTAATTGGCTCATAGTCATGTCATGAATTCCTGCCCTTAGTGTTTTTAATGGTCTCTATTTGCATCTGCTTACTAGTTAAAACTTTCTTTGTATGTTGTGGTGGCTTGAAAGAAAATGAGCCCCAAGGGAGTAACACTGTTAGGAGGTGTGAACTTCTTGTAGGACATATGTCTCAGTGGAGGCAAGTTTTGGGGTCTCATATATACATAAACCACTCCAAGTGAGACCGATCACTACCTGTTGTCTGAAGATATAGAATCCTCAGATACCTATCCAGTACCAAGTCTGCCTGCACACTGCCTTGTCCTGCCATGATGATAATGGACTGAACTGCTGAAACTGTGAGTCACTCCAGTTAAATGCTTTGCTTTATAAGAGTTGGCTGTGGTCATGGTGTCTCTTCACAGCAATAGAAACCCTAATTAAGACATATGTGTATCATCTAAATAAACATTCTTACAAATTGGTGGTGCAATTTGTTTATTACTTACACTATGAGTTAGTAAAGCTCAATTTCTTATTTAGATTGCTATAAAGTATAATGGTAGGGAGTGGAGGAAGCCTGAGTGAGTAAAGCCCTGAGTGAATGTGTATTGTTGACATGGGACAGCCATGCCAAGGACTCCAATGGCCTCAGCCCCATGAGACCAGCAAGTCCATCCACAGATGAAGCTCAGAGGGATGGCAAAGCTTTCCAAAGTACTATGGCTTGACCAGTGTGCACAGAAACTAGCAACTGCAGCTTCCTCCTCCTAGGTATTTATAGCCTGAGACTGCTCACTCAAAGAGACCTTTTTTCCAGATAAGCTAGCCCCTCTGCATTTTGTTGAGTTAGGCACCAGATTTAGGCTCTTTATAGGAACAATAAATATTCTTAACCACCACACATCTTTCTAGCCCTGTTTTCTTATATGAAGTCATTTCTTAAGGCGGGAAAGATTACTCAGTGGATAAGAGTATTTACTGTTCTTGGGAAGGCTGAGACTGGTTCACAGCACCTATAGTGGATAACTCACAACTCTCTGTACCTCGAGGTGTAGGGGGTCAATGACTTCCAGGATCCAGAGCCACAAGACACTCTCAGGTGCCCAAGACACATGCAAGAACACATACAGACATAGAAGATAAAATTTTTAAATAAAAGTAAGAAAGGAAAGAAAACAGTAGAGGAGAAATGTTATAAAAGGGAAAAGCAAGGGCAAGAGATGTAAAAGCAACAATACAAGATATAAGTGTGAGAAAGGAATTTTTGAATAGGACTCCATTTGTCAAGGAATTAAGGCCAGCAATCAACAACTGGAAACTCACAAAACTAAAAAACTAAGGAAGCAATCAAATGAAGAAGAATTCCACAGGATGGGAGAGAATCTTTGCCAGCTATTCCTCTGCCAGAGGAGTAATATC